TTCCTTCCTTCCTTCCTTCCTTCCTTCCTTCCTTCCTTCCTTCCTTCCTTCCTTCCTTTCCTTCCTTCTTCCTTTCTTCCTTTCTCTCTCTCTCTCTCTTTTTTTTGGTTTTTCAAGACAGGGTTTCTTTGTGTAGCTTTGGAGCCTATCCTGGAACTAACTCTGTAGCCCAGGCTGGCCTCAAACTCACTGAGATTCACCTGCCTTTGCCTCCCAAGTGCTGGGATTAAAGGCGTGCGCCACCACTGCCCAGCTCAGCCTGCTTTCTTATAGAACCCAGGAGCAACTAACCGTGGGTAGCACCGCCCACAGCAGCTGGGCCTTCCCACATTCATCACTACCCCACAGACTTGCCTATAGGCCAATCCTACGGAGGCGGTTTTTAAATGAAGATTCCTTCTGCCCAGGTATGTTTAGGTTTGTGTCACTCTGACAGAAACTAATCAGAGCCTCATCTCTTCATAGCACTTGCTGTTTCGACAGATCACACATCACTTGGGGAGACTTCCAGAATTGTTACAAGGATGATCACATGAACTCAGGGTCCCTAGGGGAGTGGGTAGCCCCTCAGAAAGCTGGACATCTCTGGGCTGGCCACTTGCACACCAAAGCACTGGCAATGAGCAGTGGGAGGAGGGGCATGCCGGGTGTGAGCATGCCCCACCCACAGGGTGGTGTGAGGGACACATTCAGGGTGGGACGGGCGACCTAGCTGGTCTCATGACACAGCTGTGGAGCCTTATTCTAGGCAGTCTTCTGTTCTGAGTTTCTGCTTCCTCCTTTATAAATAAGATTTTGCCGTGGTCAACATTTCTCAAAGCAAGTTCCTTAGCATACTCCATCCGGGGTATGTTAACAAATGACTCTGAAGGAGGATTCTGTGGTCAAATGCACTTGGGCCATGATGCTCTCCACATCCCATTCTTGACCTTCCCAGGGCACATCAGCAACATCACAGCTTTGGGCAGTTCTACAGTAAATAAACTTACTTATTGATATTTATACCAACCTTTCTCACACTTATTTCACCTTGGACTCCTTGGGGGGGATTATATATAAATTTACTTTCCTCCCTGAGTGTTGGTCTGACAATGCACTGAGTTCAGTCACATCTGAGGTCATCCCTCCTCCTCTGAGTCCCTGGCCATGAACTTGTTGCTGCTCCCACAGCACTTGCTGTTGCTCTGAATGGTAGCTCCTTAAGGTGATAGCAGACCATCTGGCCTTGTGGAGGGAAAGCCTGCTGAGAGAGAGAGAGAGAGAGAGAGAGAGAGAGAGAGAGAGAGAGAGAGAGAGAGAGAGAACACATAGGCCTATTGATGTCACAGTATAGAGACTGGTGGGATGGGACACAGGGAGAAAGGGGATCCAAAGGTTCTGGGACATCTGAATCCAGATGAGCCACTGGATTGGGGTCACAAAACAGGCATCCACAATGAGAAGGCAGGCATTCTGAGAGCTGGGAAAGGACTTGTGAACTGCAATCTTTCATTTCCAGTAGTACAGTGATCCTTCTGTAATTCATAGCCAGGATAGTATGGAGGACTTCCACATTTGAATATTATCATCTAAAGAAGCGGTTTTGAAGTCACACACGTGCCTCAGTTTATTCTACTGTAAAATGGGACTAATCTGCAGGCTTGCCCTGCTAAGCCTGAGCGTGAGGGTTGCATGAGTTGGAACACATGACAGCTTGGGGACTAGTGACTGACATGTAGCAGGATCTCCACAGACGGCCTGGTCATGACTGATTCTTACCAGGGTTCCGTTCTGACTTGGCAGTCTACTCATATGCCCCTAAGCATCTCCGCCTCACAGGACCAAAATAAAGCTTGATTCCCCCAATACTTTTTCTCTTCCCTCCGCTTTCTCCATCTCCTGGCACTCACACAAGGAGTTAGAGGTGGTGTCTTCCACTTCCCTTTCACATCGGTCCACGGAGATTTCCTGCAGTGTTCACCCCCACGTCTCTTTCCCATCCATCAGCTCCAGTCTAGCTCCCTAGTCTACACCAAGCTTCCTCATCTCTGGATGGAGGCAGCGGTCTCTAGAGCGATCGCTCTGCTCTTGTCTACAAGGACTCTCTCAGTTGTAGCTTGAAGGACCTGTGATGAACGCACATATGGCACAGGAAATAAAGTGAGGCTTCCGACTGTGGCACTGGGGATGTCCGGCCTCTATGGACACCTGCTCTTTCCCTCCACTACCTCCCCAGTGGGTCTTCTGTACTCTAGGCTCATGGGTCTTGCTGTAGTAAACTGTAGGAACATTTCCCCACCATCGGGCCTCCATCCATGCCCTCTTTATACGCCACGCATGCTCTTTCACAGGCAAATCTCAGCTGACAGCTCTTGTCTCTAGAGTTTTCCTGCACTATACCTCCTAGTGGGTCATCCCACAGGCTGTCTCACAGCTCCATTTTTAGGACCTTCACAACACTGTTCTCCAGTAGTAATTATCTCTTTATTTGTAGACATGTTTACCGTTCACCCATCTGCAAAGAGAATTCTCCAGGATTAGGTGCCAGCACCATTTGTGAGTATGGCAGACACTGAGTTTATATATGCTATATGAGTGGTTCTCTCCTCACCCTGCCTTCTATCTATTCTCAAGATAAAACACACTGACTAATAAGCAAATAAAATCATCCAGCGGCTTTTATCAGATCAGGTCAGAGCTAGAACAATCAACCCATGCATGACTGTGCCTGAGCTTTTAGACAACCAAGAAACCCGCCAACTCATGCTGACAACACCCACCTGAGGCAGGATCTGTGGTCTGCACCAACACTCTGAGCACACCTTTGAGTCAGGGGGTTCTACTTGATAACCAGTGAACTTTGAGGTAGTTGTCTGCAAAGCAGATAGTGTTTTCCATCCAGCTGGTGTCTGGTCCCTGGGTTCTGGGGGACATCCAGAGTGCCCCGATCTGTGTCATCCCTGAAGTATGGATTGACAAAGGTACACAGAGGGAAACCATAAAGGAGATCTTTCCCTGAGGAATGCTTATTAGAGGAGCGGCCAATGGTTACAACCATTTTGCTTCTCAGTGATCATTGGTCCCGACTGTCTGTTGCTGTTTCTGGGGGAAGCTAACATAAATGTTTATTGACAACACAGTCATCAAGAAAATAAAGTTGCTGATTCATCGCCTTGCCCCGAAACCCTTTGTTTCTCCCTCGGCTTCCTTCCTCTTTATAAAGGCACATTCTGAGAAAGAGCACATTTGGGGACCCACTTGATGTGACCTGCTGCTGGTTATTGTTTCTTTCTCCACCACCTGCACACAGATCAGGACTCCTACAGGGCAGGAGATCAACGCTTTCTGTCCACCCCCCTGGGCTCTCAGAGGAACAATGGAAGTTTGGGGGTTTCTCAAGCTGGAAGCGAGTGGCACCATGGTTACTCTGACCCTGTTTGTGGCGCTCCTGGCCCTCCTGAGATGGTAAGTGCAGCCAACCCTGGGGAGTGCGGCATGGCTAGAACGCCCAGGGGCCTGCGGTGCCAGGTGGGGTGTGCGGGCATGTGTTTTTCTTCCTGTCTAATCTAGAGGGGGCTGGGTGTTAACACAGCTTCAGAATTAAAAGCAAACAGCCAGGTTAATCTTTTGCTAAAATGCATGAGAGTCAAGTGTCAGGAAATGCTGGTGATTCAGTGACTGAGAACGCTGCACATAATTAAGTCTGAAAGAGATGGAAAAAGGAGAAAATTGGAAAGGCGTTAGGGATGGCTGCAAGTGTTTCCTCAAGCCCTGTCATATCGTCTCACCTTGCTTTTTGAAATCCTTTCTTCATGTTGGGTTGACAAGGGATGCAGCCTCTTGGTTCACAGCACATTAAAGACAAGGAGCTCTATGGCGGACAAACTCTGTAGCAAGCTGGGGACAGGGGTGTCTGCAGGCGTAAGGACAAAGTGGCAGAATGAATTCCCTAAGGTTCTTATCCGTTACAGAAGGGAATACATTCCAAACGGAGGTGCAAGGTGCAGCGCCCAGGAAGCCGGGGATGCTGAAAGAATCTCGAATTTGAGCTCCACAGTCTCTCCCGGTCGGTTTGCTAATTCAACAGCAGATTTCTTAATCGGGCCCCGGTGACGACTGTCAGAGAAAGACCTCACAATGAGCTGCGTTTGTGTCTATCCAGCCCGTCAGCTACACTTCCGAGAGCTGCCTATGTATTCCCAAGCACCTGGATTTAGGTCTCTCCGGGTTCTAAGGGGAAAGCGGAAAAAATAATAGAGTTGGAAGAGAGTTTCAGTTTATGTTTCTAGTGGTAATAAAGCCTGCTGTAGATTAATAACTGGGAAGGCACTTTGAAAAACATCAAGCAGTATGCAAATGTGAGGTATTATTCTTTTGGAATTTGCATAGCCCAAAGTGGAATGCACGTTTGATGTTCTCTGATGATGAAATGACTTCTTGGAAATTGGCTCTGAAACCCGGCTTCAATCCCAGCGCTCTTTTGCTTTTTAGCTGGTTTAATTATTTTTTGAACTTTTCTGTCTCAGCATGGCCTATCTGGCACTGAAACTAGCCACATGTGAAAACAAGAGCAAATGCTTACCCCTTGCCCTCAGCCTCGTAAGCCACTTCAATGCACTTTTGTGCCCTGTAGAATCCAAAACAAAGCACATAATGTGCAGTAGGTGCATAATAGATGTCAGCCACTATGACTCCAACCTACGGAACCGAAAAGCAGAGGAAAACGTGTTTGGGGGTGGGGAGGATAGCTCAGAGGAGGAGCACAGAAATAGCATGTGTGATGTCCTAGGTTTGAACCCCTGCACTGTGAAAGAGAGGTCTTTAGTGGTTGGCTTTATGTGTATTCTCGTCTCTCATTAATGTTCTGATTGGGGGCTGGGGCTGTAGCTCAGTGCTTGCATACCATTCACAAAGCCCCAGTGGGGCGGAATCCCTGGCACCACATAAAGACTGGGTATGGTGGCGTAAATCTGTAATCCCCAAACTGGGGAGGTAGAGGCAGGAGGATGAGAAGTTCAAGGCCATCCTTAAGCAACCCAGACTATATAAGATCTTGTCTCAAAAGAGAAAAAAGAAAATGCGTCATCAGCTGTGTTCTGTGGTGCTCAAAGCCTCACCCACCTGAGTCTCCCAGGCGGTCCTGCAGCATCAATGCCTCCCTGATGCCCATTTCTACATCCCCTCTCTGTGTCTTTTTCGTTTCTGTGTTAATTCTCAGCTCTGTGTCTGACATATAGCACGGCCTCAATAAATGTTTGATGAGCGAATGAGTGAGTTGCATACGTTACCATTACTCTGATGACGGAAAGGGCCCATGTCCTGCTCGATAAGCTGTGTGGCTGGGTGTTCCCAATCAGCTTTCTGCAGAGACTCAGGGCCACACCATCCGGCAAGGCAGCTACGTGTGTGTAATCTGCTCCCAGGCCCTATTAATAACGAGGTTCAAAGGCGCAGAGTGAAGATAGAGGCATGGAGCACAGGTGGTGAATAGGAAGTCAGAGTTTAGCATCCATTTGTTATCACAGAAACATTTATCGACCTGTTAATGTGTGCCAGCATGGTGGGAGGTCTTGGTATAAGGTCAGAGGAACAGGAGATCTGGATCAAATGAGCCAAAGACAGGGCAACTCGGCTGTGGCTGGGGTGGGGTGGGGGCGGAGCTCCAAGTCTACAAAGGTGAAAATTGCTGGGGAGGAAACAATGGCGAGCATGGCTGTGGCCATGGCTGTGACTATGGTACTCTTGTATGTGTGCCTCCACTCAGCTCAGCAACAATCATGCTTGGACCACCCATGTTCCTATTCCACACAAGACGCTAGGCCATTAGAAGCCCCTAATTTGACTTTGGCAAGGCTTCCAACCCTCTGGCTACATTTCCCATGAGCATCTATATATATGCGCACGCACGTGTGTGGTGTGTGTGTGTGTGTGTGTGTGTCTAGGAGAGGAGGTCAAAGGCCAGGAATTTGGGGTAAAGAGATACCCAACAGTCGTCTTGTACCCAAGAGGGCTTGTGAAGAGTGGTGTGTTCTAATGGGCTATCATCTACCAGGGGTATACAACCTTTGGGTACTGGCGCACAACATAGTCATCTGTAAAATTCATAGTTGAGAACAGTACAATTGAGTTACAAAAGAAAATCACACACACACACACACATACACACACATCTAATGTTTTAAGGATGTTTAAGGACCGGTGATGGTGGTGGTGGCGGCGGCGGCGGCGGCGGCGGCGGCGACGACGGCACACGCCTTTAATCCCAGCACTCAGGATGTAGAGGCAGGCAGATCTCTCTGAGTTCAAGGCCAGTCTGTTCTACAAAGCTAGTTCCAGGACAGCCATGGCTGTTATTCAGTGAAACCCTGTCTTGAAAAAAAAAAAAAAACAACCAAATAATAATAATAATAAAAGTTAAGTTTAAGATTTTGTGTTGGACTGAATTTATGGATATCCTTGTCCATATGTGTCCTGTGGGATGATGGTTGGATGCACCTAACTGACCTCCTTTAGGAGATCCCTCTGACCAGTCCAGGAGAGACTGAAATGGGTAGCCTAACTGCTGAGCAGAGAGATAAAGGCACCAGGGACCTGAGGTTGTGTCCTATCCCTTCAAGCCTGTGAGTCTCTCAAGGGCTTGTGCAGGATCTCCTTTCTCATTGCAGTTCTGAAGCCTGGAGCTGTGGCAGAGGCACTGCTAATGTTGGCTGAATGAGGTCAATCTGACAAGCCCATATCCACCAGCTCCAGACTCCCCGAGTGGCCTCTCTTTCTTCAGCCACTCACACTCGACTGGGCAGTGCTGAGAATGTCCCATGTTGCACACAGTCAGTCTGCTTGTTTAGAACACCATTTCCTCTGTTCTGTCCTTCAACACTGAGCTCAGGGGTGTGTTCTTGGTGGAGCATCCCTCCAGGACACCGAGAAGCCCACCTCTGTCTGCTTTCTCCTTCACTCACAAAGCCTGGCACATAGATGTCTAATAAATGCTGGCAGAAGGTCCCGAGTCTCTGCCAGTCCTTTCTCCCTTGGCCTTCAGTTAGACTTCATGGTCGCACGGAAATCCAAACCTTCCGCCATGAGCCTCACTTGCTTCCTGAAGACCTCATGTGTGTGGGGTGAGGCAGCTTGGTGCCTGCCTTTACAATTATTTCACCTTGTAGAGCAGAGACCACGGACTTCATAATAGGTAAATGATTGTTAAGTATATGAATGGATTTGGGAGAAAGACAAAATAACTCCATTTTACTTAAAGAGAGACTGCTATAAACTAGGTGTGATATTTTTTAAAATCATTTTCCCTAAACTGAACTGGTACCATTTTTCAATGATGTCCATTTAAGTTGACTGATGCTTGGTTAAGTGGCATGTCTGGGGCATTGGTAGGTCAGGGCTGCTTCACTAGGACTGGGGATGGAGCTGGGGGCATCAATTATGTTAGCAGCAAGGATATGAAGCTTATACTACAGTGACTAGCACACATACACACAATATATATATATATATTGTGTGTGTGTGTGTGTGTGTGTGTGTGTGTGTGTGTGTGTGTGTGCATGTGTGCAGGCGCACATTGGGTGCCTTCTTATATTGTCCCCTACCTTATTTACTGAGACAGGGTCTTTTACTGAGCCTGGAGCCCACGGATTCTGCCACACCTGTTTCCTCATGCTCGATGCTAGTCCTAACGCAGGTCTTCATGTTGTTCCCACTAAACCATTGTCTCGTCCCCGTTAGATTGCAAGCCACTTGTCATCAGGTGACACAGCTCACTGGTAGAGTGCTTGTGCAGCATGAACAAAAACCCGGGTTTCATGCCCAGCACTGAGATGGGGGTGGGGAAGACATCATTTTTTTCTGAATAAAGTTCTTTGAAATTCTTACTCCAAGAAGTAAGTTGAGTTGAATATTGCTTAAGGCACCCTTAAGTACAAGTGTGTTTCAACTTTCAAGCAATGCCTCAGGCCTGGCAGCTGGATTCCTGGGGTAGATAAAGATTTCTTTATCCCGTCAGAAAGAGTGTGAGGAAAAAGTCCAACTATTAATAATAGGCTTCTTTCAGTGGTGGGGTTAGGGGAGATTTTTTTTTCTTCTTTTAGCCTTTCTGTAGCTTTCCTATTTCTTTAAGGAGTGTGAATACTTAACAACAACAACAACAACAACAACAACAACAAAAAGTAATTTTGCTTAAAAAAAAAGTGGGAAATTGCTCCTTTCAACAAGTACAGGGGGACCCAGGAAGCAGCTGTGTTCCTTGGGCAAGGAGGTTTGGAACCTGGGGTGTCAGTCTTGTGTGGGGATTGGAAGGGTGGTGTGATCAGCACGGAAGGCAGTGTGAAGAGGGCAGAGCATAAGCCCTCAGAGGTGAACACGGTGAGGTCGCGGGGTCTCTCTTGGGGAGGTAGAAGAGCTTTTAATGCCAGGCTGTGCTTAACGCTCTGGCGTTAGGCTGCAGGGGTATGACTTGG